GTCATTATTTGCAGATGACATGATACTGTATATACACAACCCTAAAGATTCGGCCTAAAAACTACTATAACTGATAAATGGGCTCAGGAAAGTAGCAGGATACAAAATTAATATCCAGAAATCAGTTGCAGTTTTATACACCAATAATGAACCATTAGAAAGAGAAGCTAAGAAAACAATCTCATTTACAACTACATAAAAATAAAACATCTAGAAATAAATTTCACCAAGGACTTAAAAGATCTGTACTCAGAAAATTATAAGACACTGATAAAAGAAACTGAAAAAGATAAAAATAACTGCAAGCATAAACCATAGGGAAAACTAACATCATTAAAATGTCCACACTACCAAAGAAATCTATAGATTCAAAGTAATTCCTATCAAAATACCAATGATGTATTTCACAGAACTAGAAAAAATATTCCATAAGTTTACATGGAACCATAAAAAACTCCCAAATAGCCACAGCAATCTTGAGTAAGAAGAACAAATTGGAGAAATCATGCTACCTGTTATCATACAAGGCCACAGTAAACAAAACAGCATGTATTGGCATAAAAACAGATATATATAGACCAATGGAACAGAACAGAGAGCCCAGAAATAAATCCACGACCTTATGGACAAGTAGTAACTGTCATAGGAGGCAAGAACATACAATGAGGCAGAGACAATTTATTTATTAGTGATGTTAGGATATGGGACAGAGACTTCCAATAAAGTAAAACTAGATACCTTCTTACACCATATACAAGATTAAATTCAAATGAATTAAAGGCTTAAATGTTGGACTTAAACCACGAAAATCCTAGAAGAAATCACAGGCAGTAAAATCTTGGACATTTCTTGCAGCAATATTTGTTCTGATACATTGTCTCAGGCAAGGGGAAAAACCATAAATAAATAAAATAAATAAATAAAAAACTTAATAAGAAAGACTACATCAAACTAAAAAGTTTTTGCACAGCAAAGGAAATCACCAAGAAAAAAAAACAACCTACTGAATGGGAGAACATGTTCACCAATAACACATCAGATAAGGGGTTACTATTCAAAATTTATAAAGAACTTACACAACGCAACACCAAAAACAAATGAACAAACAATCCAGCTTAAAAAATGGGTAAAGGATCTGAATAGACACTTATCCAAAGAGGAGATAGAGATGGTCAATACATATGAAAAGATACTTAATATCACTAATCATCAAAAAGAAGCAAACTAAAACCACAATGAAATATCACCCACACCTGTAAGAATGGCTATCAATAAATCAACAAGTGGGGGTGAAGATGTGGGGGGAAAAAGGAACCCTTTTGCACTATTGGTGGGAATGCAGATTCATGTAGCCAGTGTGTGGAAAGCAGTAGGGAGCTACCTCAAAAAATTAAAAATAGAACTGCCTTACAATCTACCACCATTTCACTTCTAGGAGTATATCTTAAGAAACAGAAACACTGATTCAACAGAATTGCCCTTGACCAGGGTGGCTCAGTTGGTTGGGCACCATCCCGAAAGAGAAAGGTCACCAGTTCAATTTCCAATCAGGACACATGCCTAGGTTGTGTGATTGGTCCCAGTCGTGCTGTGTAGGAGAAGCAACCAATTGATGTTTCTCTGTTACATCAATCTGTCTCTCTCTCTCTCTCCCCCTCCCTCCTTCCCTTGCTCTCTAAAAACAAAACAAAACAAAACAAAACAAAACAAAACAAAAATACACCCCTATGTTCTATGCTCAGTGCAACATTATTTACAATAGCCAAGATTTGCAAGAAGCCCAAGTACCTATCAGTGGGTAAGTGGATAAAATAGCTGTACACAATGGAATACTACTAGGCCATAAAAAAGAAGGAATATTTACTTTTTGCAACAGTATAGATGGACCTGGAGAGTATTATGCTAAGTGAAATAAGTCAGAGAAAAACATGATTTCTCTCATATGTGGCATCTAATGAACAAAAAACCTAAAAAACAAAATAGAAACAGACTCATAGACACAGAGAACAGACTGACAAATGTCAGAGGGCAGGAGGCTTGGGGGATTGGATGAAAAGGATGAAGGGATTAAAAAAAAAATCTCATAGACACAAACAACAGTATGGTGATTACCGAGGGGAAAGTGGAGGGATGTAGAAGATGGTAAAGGAAGAATAAATGGTGATGGAAGGAGACTTGACTTGGGGTGGTGAACACATAATACAATATACAGATGATGTATTATAAAATTGTACACATGAAATCTATAGAATTTTATTAACCAATGTCATCCTAGTAAATTCAAATAAATAAATAAATAAATAAATAAATAAATAAATGCAAACACTAGGTACTAATTGCATTTTATGGTCCTCTAACTTTCCACAGATCAAAGTTTAAAAGTGTACAAGAAATTAACTAAACATCATTAAAATGTCTAGTCTTCATGAGAGAAATAGCAAAATTAGAAATGTTCACTAATACTTTTTTTGTTTGAAGAACTAAAAATTACTAAAATTGAACTCAGACTACCTAATATACCTGACAGAAGAAAAACAGGATTTAAAAGCTCTCTAAAAAGCAATGCTTCATAGAATAAAAGGGTTCAAAATGAGAGCTATCTGAGTAGACTGAGTATACAACAACATAGATATTAAGACTATTTACTTTTTAAAATAATCTGTATCCTTTACTCAATAACTTAAACCTAAAACCACAATCTTCTCATTTATTTTTTAAAAATAATCTGTATCCTTTACCCAATAATTTAAACCTGAAAACCACAATCTTCTCATTTATAAGTAAATTAAATTTTAAGTAAATAAATTAAATATAAAAGAGTGTTTGCATATTCATCCTCCTTGTTTTTAAAAAATCTGAGTATGACAGTTGAGTAGAAATGATAAATTCAGAAACACTGCAAAGATCCTATGACAGTTTCCAGTTCAGAAGGCAAAAAACTTCTTGAATGATTTTGTTACAAAAAGAGCCATTTTCCTTATCAAGAACTTAAAATGCTTTAAAGGTGTTTTAATCTCTTCTGGATGGAAGAGACTGTCACAGTTACTTCCATTTACACAAAGTGATTCAAGTCACTCTCAAATATTATTAGTAAAAGTAAATAACATATTGACAGTTATCATTCACTAATTAGGTTTTCTCTTGATTCTTTCCTCTATAGTCGAAAGTCTTGAGACACAAGGACCAATCAATTGTACATGATATGGTACTTTTATTCAAGAAACAATGCCATTTTATACAAATTAAATTCCTGAAATTTTTGTATACTCTTTCGACTGGCAGTTAAAGTTCCAAAAGATCTATCCACCTACCCACCCATCCATCCACCCACCCTCACCCAAGGGTATGTTTACTGATTTTTAGAGAGAGGACTGTCTCCTATACATGCCACGATGGGGAATCAAACCCACAACCTTTTTGGTACACAGGATGATGCTCCAACCAACTGAGCCACTTGGCCAGGGGTGATCATTTTTTAAAACGAAGACAATCTAAATGTTCATCAGCAGAGGTCTGGTTAAGTAATAAAGTAATGTACTGACAGAATATTATGCTATTAAAAATGCTGCAGAAGAACAATACATTAAGTGAAAAGTGTAGGCTGTAAGTGAGCACACAGCAAAATTCCTTGTTAAATAAATATAAATATATTTATATATAAATATTAACCATGATTCTCTCTAAATAGCATCATAGGTGACTTCTAATTCTTCATATAAAATTGTGAGTTCTAAACCTCCATAAATTAAAAAATAACTATATACATTTATATAATTATAAAATATACCACAAAACATAAACAATAGTTTAGGAATTATTGGAAAAAACTTAAAATTTTTACCACATTGAATGGGTGGCACAGAAAAGATAAAGAAAGATACTTTTACTGTTTCTCCTGACCTAAGCTATTTCTTAAGAGTAAACTTCTAGAATACAGCCATTTTCAAGTAAATAAAAAATGTATATTAAAATCTAGAAGGTAACTGTGGAGTTTCTTCATATTTTTAATGTATCTCTTCTCTTTCCACTTAGGACAGAAGTGAAGGTCTGAAAACAATACTTGAGGACTATAAATAATGAGAAAGCTGGTGACAAAATTCAGATCTTTTAAGTACTCGATTTGATCAGGACATCAATAAACCTATACTTAGGTTTTTGTCTCCCCTACTATTAGCAGTATTTTTCAGTTTCAATAAATAAATGAGGCACTTAAAAATCAAAGTGTGTTTCCTGCCACCAAAGTAGTGTTTAAAAATCCAATGATAATTACTTTCTAGTAACTAAGCAAGTTTCATTTTCATGTGAAATATGTTAAGGTACTTATAACCTTTTCTAATAAAGCTCTGTAAACACAACTGAGTTCTACCTCTCAGGTAACATGCTAATATTAAAAGATAACTGAATGAACACATTTAACAGGAACAACATACTGGACCTCAGCTACTGTCTTAAAATACTTTTTACACTTTTACTTTCTAATGGAGTTTAGAACTGGGTTTTATACCTTTTAGTTATAGCTGGATTATTATTAGTACTACTTATATAATAAAATTTAATACCTTCACTACATCATATTCAATATAGAGCTCTAATTTAAGGTTAGTAGCTTTATACTTGCTACCAATAAGTCTGATAACAATATATGGGCTAACTGAAAAAGTTACATCTTCTTGAAACCTAGATTCATTACCAAATTAAATTGGGGATTTTAAAAACTACACACGTTTTTTAATCTGCTAAAAGAAAAGAAACTAAATTTCTAAATTGACTAAATGTTTCAACTTTAAATCAAGACAAACTTAAAAAATTAAAATCTACCAAAAGCCATATATGGAATAGTTTAGTCAATTTAAATAAATTGGTGCAAATTATTCAGTATTATTTCCTCTAAGTTAAACTGCCAACTTACATTCAAATATACACATTACACATAGAATATTTAATAGTATATCTTGAAGGGCTAAAATTTCTCCTATCCCCATAATTCTTTATCATCTTACCCCATTCTGTGCCATCCCCTGAACTCCTTGCTTCTCCAGCTCCTTCACCATCTTCAGCAGTCACTAAAAAATCAAATTCTTTCAGCGCTTCCTCAGTGTCAGGATCATCAGTCAGGTCAGCGGCTAAACCTTCATTACCTATCTGTAAACAAAACATAAGCCAAGAATTACTTTCACCCTAAATTTTAAAGGAGTTCTTTATGTTTTCACACAATTATCTTTACATTTGCACTCCTGTTTTTAAATCAACAGGAGTTTAGATTTTCTACATAGTTCGCCAATCCCAAGTTACACTCTACCTAAGTGGTTTTCAACAGTGCCATGCGAAGACCATTGTAAGTGTAATGCAAATAATGTGGTAGTAAAAATGATTAAAACGCAATGACCAAGAACAACTAAACTCATTATTTATAATATATTCAGTTACTATATATTCAATATAGTAACTTTTAAAGATCCATTCACTCACTTACAGTGATGTTATGCTGAATTGCCCTCACTCAGAACTACATATGTAGTCCATTAACTTACAGATATGACACAACTAATAAGGATATTATTAATTAATGTAAGTCAATAGCTGTGGTAATTATAACAGGGCTTTACCTCCCAAAACAAAAAAAGGGACAAAAACAAAATGTCTATTCACATATGTTATAAATATTGAATGTTACAAACATGAAATATGGAACTGCTGGTCAAAATAAAGGCATTGGTGGAAATGCTTTGCCTCCTGTAAGCACAAGAAGAATTACAACCAGAGCTCAAAATTAGTAGCACCCAGAACCTTTAGAACCACCCAGAAAATCGAGCTGTATGAAGTCTGACAACCAAGGATTTAAAGAAGACACATTCATCCAGACAGGAGGGGCAGAGTCGTGGAGAAGGGCAGAGACACAGTGTGGTAAGGAAAGGTGGAAGGCAAGTGGCAAAGGAACAGATGGGAGGGATAACTTCAGAGCTAGTGATCCCTGCCCCAGGCTGCACAGCCCAGGGTTTCGCACTGGGAATATAAATCCCCATTACCTTTGGCCGTAAAACCACTGGTGGTTCAGGTGGCACAAGAAACTGCCAGATTTTTGCAGCTTAAAGGGCCAGCATGGTCTCAACGTATGCAGATGTACTCACTCTGTGATTCACCGCTGGGGCAGCAGCTGGAAGGGTGCCGGTCGCATGGAAAGGAGGTGAAGTGACTAGAAATGAGGCAAGTGCTGGGCAACCTGCCAGAAGCCAGGTGTCAGCACTGATCCCTCTCTGAGACCTCCCCACACAGTCACAAAACTGTGAAGCAGGTGTCCTGTCCTGGCAATTACCTAAGGCTCTGCCCCACACAATTTACCAGTGCCTTTTCAACATACGCCACGCTACTAAGACAGGGAGTAAAAGCAGCTCTACCTAATATACAGAAACAAACACAGGGAGGCTGCTAAATTGAGGAGAAAAAGAAAAATGGCCCAAATGAAAGAATATAACAAAACCCCAGAAAACTAGATGAAATGGAGATAACCAACCTATCAGATGCCACGTTCAAACACTGGTTTATCAGGATGCTCGGAAAACTCATTAAGTATGTCAAAAAAAATAAAGAAAGAAATGAAAGTTACACTAAATGAAATAATCCACAGGAAACCAACTGAGAAGGAAAGGAGCTGGGATTCAAACCAACAATCTGGAAGATAAGGAAGAGAGAAACATTTGAACAAAACAGAAAGACACAAGAATTCAAAAAAAAAAAAATGAGGATAGGCTTAGGAACCTCTGTGACATATTCAAAATGTGCCAACATCTGAATCACAGGGTGCTAGAAAGAGAAGAGGAAGAGCAAGAATTTGAAAACTTATTTGAAAAAAACAATGAAAGAAAACTTCCCTAAATTTGGGGAAGGAAATACACATACAAATCAAGGAAGCACAGAGAGTCCCAAACAAATTAGACCAGAGAGGACCACAACAAGACACAACCTAATTAAAGTGGCAAAAGTTAAAGATAAAAAGAAAATCTTAAAATCAGCAAGAAAAAACGCAGAGAGCTGCCTGCAAAGGAGTTCCCATTAAGACTATCAGCTGATTTCTCCAAAGAAACCTTGCAGGCATGAAAGGGCTGGAAAGAAGTATTTGAAGTCATAAAAGGCAAGCACCTACAGCCAAGATTGCTCTATCCAGCAAAGCTATCATTTAGAATGGAAGGGCAGATGAAGTGCTTCCTAGCCAAGGTAAAGCTAAAGGAGTTCACCACCATCAGCCCATTATTATATGATATGTTAAGGGGACTTATTTAAGAAAAAGAAGATCAAAACCATAAACATTAAAAAGGCAACAAATTCACCCCCGTCAACAATGGATTCTTAAAAAATAAACCCCAAAGAACAAAAAAACCCCAAACTAAGCAAACAACCAGAACAGGAACAGAATCATAGATACAAAGATCATTTGGATGGTTATGAGCTGGGAGAGGGAAGCGGGAGAATGGGGAAATGATGCAGGGATTAAGCATAACTGGTAGGCACAACAAAATGGGAATTTAAGAATATAGCATAGGAAGTGGAGAAGCCAAAGAACTTTGCACAACCCATGGACATGAACTAAGGGAAGGGACTGCTGGAGGGAAAGGGAGTAGCAGGTGGAGGGAAGCAAAGGGGAAAAATTTGGGACAACTGTAACAGCAAGGTCAATAAAATATAATATGAAGTATTAAAAATATGGAATGTGGCAAAAAGGTTAAAAACAACTTTTATAAACTAGAAGCTTTTGAGGAACACTGGCATTTTCCCCAAATCACTATAACATCCCAAATAACTACAATGGAACCTATCCACTTTTTAAAAACATACTTGAAATACTGTATACTACTATGATAATTCACAAACAGATCACCCAAAGAGTCTTTTGCTCCTATAGGTAACCCACATCACCACTAAAATAGATAAACCTATTTCTTAGGTTATGAGCAAAAGTAAATCATTGACTCTTACCAAAGAATGAAAATGTGGAACATATACATTTATATCCACATTTTACTCCTTCACCTAGGGAGGTAGTGTCCCTACTGAAGCTTCAGTTAATATATCACCTATTTACTGTACACAAAGAGAAGGACTATAGGAGTGATTCTTAATTGTGGCAGGAGAGGACAGAGAGTTGCTTTTTTAAAAAAATGTTTCAAACCACTGGACTAACCCTATAATTACAAGCCCTTTCCTGTCATTTATGACTAATATAGCAAGTAATAATTTCTACTGTAACCCAATAAATGATACACAAAACTTTCAAATGACACAATAAAATATCTAACAATCATTCCCAATTTAACTTAAGACAACTCTAAAATTCCTATTTTAAATATGTGTGTATATATTTTAGCTAATAATAATAGAAAATCAAGTTCCTACTTTGTGTTTATTCATCCGATGTTTGTCTTTTCCTTCTGGAATGCCTTCAATCATGTCATTTTCCTCTTCTTCATCACTGTCATCAGCATTTTCTAAGAAATTGAATGTCTCAAGAACATCACCGGAAGGCCTGTAGGAAGAGAAAAAGATGAAACCAAATATTCCAATGGTTATTTCTAATATTTGTTTCTGGCAGTATAGAGATTCAAATGACAACCTATTTATAATGTATTGCCTAAATATTTTACTGAAGAAAAGAATTCTGTAAAATTATTTACAGTTCGACAATTAATGTTCTACAATTAAACTGACTGTTCTCTATTGATTTCTCCAATGGTTACTGTCCAAAATATTTTAAGTGAATACTGCACCAAAATAAAATCCTATAGTATTAGACACTTAACAGTGCTACTATTCTCCAAATAAACCTATCATAAAGCAACTTAAACAGTGCATTTCTTACAATTCTACAATTGGTCCAAATGTTTGAGGACTAAAACCAAAGTTTAATGTGTCAGGCTGCCCTGATGTAAAGTTATGGTAAACCAGTTTTAGAAACTTCCAATCTATTTCCCAAATTTTCTTATCTAAAAAAATGGGATCCTTAACATACTAAAGAAATACTTTTGAGTTTTTCAAAACCACTCATTTAATAAGTAATAGTGATCATTTATTTTTATCTACTTTCGAGGCATTTAAACTATAATCTGAATTCCTCCTGTATGTACAAAACAGTTTTTCAAATAGCTGTTTAAATGTTAAACAACAGAGGCAGCAACAGAACAGTGGAAATTTCAGCTAAACACAAACTCTCAATATGAAAGTATTTCCTTTTCCATTAAGTAGTTGCCTGTACTTAGTCAAGTCACAGAAACCTTTTGGCTTCAATTTATTTGGAGGTAGTGGGGGAAATGTGGGCAACTAGATGATCTCTAACGTCTTTATCAACACTAAGAATGCATGGTAACAAGTAATAATCTAAAATTTACAGTTTTCTTCCTCCCTGACTCATTCTACTAGTCCATATTAAGAACACAATTCAGACCATTTTTTACTAACACTTTAATATGGCATATGGTTTTAACAGGTCTACTACACTCTGCCTAATCCAGCACACTTTTTAAGGACCTGTATAAACACTGAATACAAGAGCTGGTGTTTCCAAATTAGTAAAAGCAAACACAAACCTACCATAACAACAAAATACAAACTTTACAGATCAGCATTTATGTTTAATATTTGGGGATTAAATAAAAGGCAAAGAAATACTTAAGAACACAAAAAAGAATATACAGGAGTAAGTCACTTAAGAACACAAAAAAGAATATACAGGAGTAAGTCCTTAATATTATCCACAGGTTCTGCAACTTTCAGGAAACTGAAGTAGGAAACCAATTTTATCAGAGGCAAACTGATATAAACATTAAGTGCCTACGGCATCTTATCAACATTATATCAAAACAACATTGAAGGAAATAATATCTGAGGAGCTGCTATAGTAAATTTAAGGTGAAAATTTTGTTTTGAACTTCGATAAACTGTCTCCAAAGTAAAAACTCATGTTTTAGGTTTTAAAATTATATTGGATCACAGCAGTACATGTATATGACTTTAGAAGTCAAATAGAGCACAATCCATAAAAGAACTGATGAATCAGATGTCCCAAAGTTAACAACTTGCTCTTTGAAGACACTGTTAGAGAATTTAAAGACAAGTCCACAGACTGGGAGAAAATATTTGTAAGTCACATATTTAATGAAGGACTTGTGTCCAGAATATACAAATAACACTCAAATCTCAACCATAACAAACAATAAAAGTGAGGATATCATTTTAATAGACACTATCAAAAGACATGACATGAATGGCATAAAGAGATAATGGACATCCTTGGTCTTTAGGAAAATAAAAATGAATGCAATTATGCACTGTGAAGGGCCTCAGACTTGACTCTGCTGGAGTGCTAACATGCCAATACTTTTGAATTGTTTCTTTTTTGTGTTCATGATGACAGACTTTATGGATTACCCCCCCCCATTAATCTTATAGTGCACTTGAGTGGGAATCCTTTCAATCCAAGCCCCTCCCCCCAAAAAATCCTTGGAAATACAGTCTGTAAATACACTCCAGATAATTTTCTTTTATTACTACCTTAATAATTTTTTCAATACCATTTGATCTGTTTTCTCTCTCTCTTTCTTTCTTCCTTCCTTTCTTTCTTTCTGAAACTCCTAGTCAGATATTGGCTCTCCTGGACTGATTTTGAATTTTCCTAGCTTTTCAGTCTTCCTTTCTCTTTTCCCTTTTCTGAGAGAATCCTTTATCTTATCTTTCAAGTTTTACATAGAAATTATTTGTAGCATACTTTTTCATTTCTATTAGTTCTTTTTGGATATCCAATTATAAATCTTTTCAAATAACATCCTATTTGTTTCGTAAACACAATTTTTTTCAGAACTGTCAAAGATTAATTAGTTTTGAAAATCTGCTGTTTTCTCTAAGTTCCTTTTTTTTGTACCTTTGTTCTCCAATTTTCATGTTAAAGGCTTTCCTTAAGTGTTCACAGTTAAGAGTGAGGCACTAAATAGGTAACTGGATGTTCTATGTATATGAAGGAAACTTGTCTAAACAGCTGGCTTTACTCTTCCATTATAAGACAGAAGCCTAAGTATTTCACTGGCAGGTCCCAATTATCAGTTTCAGTAAGTCTCTTCTACTATTCTGATCAATTTCAATAACCACCTTAATGGAAAAACTGCCAACATATTAGAGGACAAACAGCAGAAGAAAACAGGGGATCATAATGATCAGCTGGAGATTTTCATATAGTCCTATTTTTAATACACTAACTGGCTCTACAGTTGCTTGATTTCTTAAGAAATCAGAAATCACTGGTTCTACTTCACCAGAAAATATACCACCATTCTTTGGGGTGGCGAGGGGCGTTCAATTGGCTGCACAGGATAAAAGAGAGGTCCGAGATTCTAACTGCCTTTTACATAAACTTTAAACCAATTCTCTACTCACAACCCCCTTTAAACCTGACTCTACATGTACCTGCTACCTTTAATTCCTCAGCTTTTAGAGCTTTACTGGCATCTTGAATTTACTGGGACTTGAACTGGCTTGTTCCTTTTCTTCTTCCTATCATTCCTAATTGCATTTATTTATTTTCTTTTTATTTAATCTTTATTGCATTTTTTCCATTACCCTCTAGACACACAAATTTGGCAAGGTTCCAAACAGAGTAAAAGGAGAAAGAAAGAAGCTACTGGAGGTTCACAAGTAAATGGGATCAGTGACTACGAAGCAAAATAGCTTTTCCCAATTACAAGATCTAAGACAATGCTCTCCCCCAAGGAATCCACATGAAGTAGATACTTTGTGATCTGATGCACTATGCACCCACAATATCCTCCCACAAGAAACAAAAAAAGTGCAAGAGTGACATTTACTCACTGAATCTAGTAAACTAGTTTTTCAACTGCTGTGCCACAAGAATTTTGAAAGCATACAATACCTGACTATTTAGTCAGGGAACTCACATCTTTCTTCTTAAGAGTGTCAGATTTTTTTAAAAAATGACAACTGCCAACACAATAATGACCATCCCATAAAAAAAAGAGTTAAAATTATACCTACTTTTTTGTCAAATAGGCAAAAAAATTTGGGGGTGTGCCACAGAATTTTAGTTTACATGTGCCATGAGACAAAAAAGGTTGAAAATCGCTGTAGTAAACATTCCTGTCAGTGGGGTTACATTTCAACTGAATACACAATATTAATCGTAGGAAACACTCACTATATATAAGACATTGTTCTCTGTGCTGACACATCACTCATTTCTTCTTCACATCAACCCTACCATCACCAAATTTATTTTTTTCTCTAAGATGGCTCTACTGGCACCTAGTTATCTTTAACTTGATTTAAAATAATTTTGTTAGACTGCATTGTGACAACTGTATTTAAAAAAATCAAAATGGTGAATTTTTGTGTAGCCATTTTAATACTGAAGATAAAAGAAAATATGTAATACTTTTGGTATATTATGTTTTATTATTTCAAGAAAGGTAAAAACACAACTGAAATGCAAAAAAAAAAAAAGATTTGTGCAATATATGGAGAAGGTGCTGTGACTGAATATGTCAAAAGTGGTTTGTGCCCTGGCTGGTGTAGCTCAGTGGATTGAGCACGGGCCTGTGAACCAGACAATCACGGTTTGATTCCCAGTCAGGGCACATGCCTAGGTTGCAGGCCGGTTCCCTGCAGGCCAGTTCCCAGCAGGGGATGCACGAGAGGCAACTATACATTGATGTTTCTCTCCCTCTCTCTTTCTCTTCCCCTCTAAAGATAAATAAATACAAAATCTTAAAAAAAAAAAAAAAAAAAAAAAGGTGGTTTGTGAAGCTTTGTGATGGAAGTTTCTCACTGGACAATGCTTCACAGCTGGGTAGACCAGTTAAAGCTGATAGCGACAGAGACATTAATTGAGAATAATCAATATTATATCACATGGGAGATAGCCAACATACTCAAAATATCGAAATCAATAAAATTATTGGTGAAAATGAAAAACACATCTTTTATGTTATGGAGAAAACATATGGACTTTTTGGCCAACTCAATACAAATGAGGAAACTGAAGCAAAGGTAAAGTACCTAGCACCAAGTCATAGCTAGTAAGTGGTGAACTCAGAATTCAAACCCAGTCTGTCTTCAGAATTCACATTCCAAAACCATTAAGCATACTGCCTCTAATAATATGACCTAAGATTTACTTCCTCAACTCTTGAACACTAAGATTGCTTCTGATGTTCTATTATTACAAACAAATACGTAATAAAAAATTTTTGCTGAAATCTCTATAAAAGTATTAAAACATTTCTTATTTCTAGGGATTTTCAAAGGCCTTGATATAGCTGAATCATACACACCTCTATCATACACACCTCTATCAGTGCAGAATCAGAATGTATAAGTATATTCATTAAGAAGGAAATCAGCCTTGATTAAAAACAACTATTATCTAAACATCTGTGAATGAATGAACAAAACGTAGTGTGTATGTGCGTGTATACACATACATACACACATACACACAACAGAACATTATCCAGGAATTAAAAATTTAAAAGACATGGAAGTTTTGTCATATGCCATAATTCTGATGAACCTTCAGGACATTATGCTAAATGAAATAAGCCAGTCACATAAAGACAGATATGGCATAACCCACTTGATGAGGTACTGAAAGTAGTCACTCATAGAAAGTTGAAGAGTAGAGGAAACAGGGTGTTGTTATTCGATGGGTATAAAGCTTTAGTCCTTCAAGATAAGAAAGTCCTAGAGTCGTGCTCTACAACTGTACTTACAGTTCACGATACTACAGTATACACTTGAAGAGTTTAAGAGGAGAGAACTCATATCATGTGGTTTTCACAACAGAAAAGGCTTATTCAAGTTTTTCTAGTGCAAAGGCAAGCAGCTTTACAAGGAGAAGATACAGTCTGTTGTGGATCTTAAATTCATATTTGTATGTGGTAAACTGAATACTCTAAAATATTTGTAAATCCTATGAACTACTTAGCTTGGTTAGTAACTTCAGTTAAAAATTCAAACATACTTTTGTTTTCCTCTCTTATGCTACAAAAACACTCTATGTTTCCTGGAATCCAGAGTAAAAAAAATTAAGGCCTCTATTAGATGTTAAATTGTTTTTCTTAAAGGGATTTTTAAATATTTTATTTATTTATCTTTAGAGGGGAAGGGAAGGAGAGAGGGAGAGAAATATCAATGTGTGGTTGCCTCTCGTGAGTCCCCTGCTGGGAACTGGCCTGCAACCCAGGCATGTGCCCTGACTGGGAATCAAACCGCGATCGTGTGGTTCACAGGCCCATGCTCAATCCACTGAGCTACACCTGCCAGGGCAATTAATTGTTTTTTCTTAGAGACCTTATTTCTCAGAAATAAAATGCCTAAACAAAAGGCTTATATTACCTTGAAAGTTAAAGAACATGTTCTAAAATAACTGTATAGTGTCAGAAAATATATCTAAGATATGAGATAATGCTAGTTTATAAACTGTATACATTAATTTCTTTTTTTTACAGATTTACTTTTTTTATTTTTGACAGAGGGGAAGGGAGGGAGGGAGAGAGAAAGAGGGAGAGAAACTTCAATGTGTGATTGCCTCACACATGCCCCCATCTGGGAACCTGGCCTGCAATGTGGGCATGTGCCCTGACAGGGAATCAAACTGGTGACCATTAGGTTTGCAGTTCAGCCACACCAGCCAGGGCAATATTAATTTCTTTCTTTTTTGGGGTAAAGAGTATTTTTTATCAGACTTCTTAATAAACTGGGGATATATCAGATGAGTGAGAGATCAGCATAATTGCTAGATCACTTTTTGACCATTTCCAGACAACTGAATGATATACACATATGTTTGAGCCATTAATCCAAGATTTTTCAACATTTCTTAAAATTTAAATACAGATTAATGAATAACTTATTTCATATTGTATTTAGAGACTCAAAAATTGATCCCTCCCAACTTCTAAAATTCTCTGATTGTCCCTCCTCTATATTTTGTTCTTTAGCCAAAAAGACCTACAGGTTTTTTCTGATTATTTTGTGTACATGCCTATACTGTGTCTGATTTATATTACTACTTTTATGTCTAAAAGGCTTTGCCAAAATCCTCCCTTCTTAATGAGTCCTGCTTCAATAGACAATTTTTAAAATTTTTAATGCATTTTTATTGTTGTCCAAGTACAGTTGTCTCCATAAATGAACTCAATGAACTTGTCTGATTTTTTTACCCTCATCTTTTTCTTTTCTTTGCCCTTCCAACTTATGTTATTCAATGTAATATCTAACAGTAAAAAATGAAAAAAAGTTCCACCTGCTTGATTCCTTTCATTTATCCACTCGTAACTGGGAGACAGTAAACAACAAGTATTGACAAGAATGTAGAGAAATCAGAACTCATAAATTTCTGGTGAGAATGTTAAATAATACAGCACCTGGGAAAAGAGTTTAGAAATTCCTTAAAAAGGTAATCAGAGTTACTATATGATTCAGGAATTCCACTCCTAAATATATACCCAAGAGAACTGAAAATATGTCCACCCTTATACACCAATGTTCAACATAGTATTATTCGTTATTCCAAAATGTGGAACTAACACACATGCCCATCAACTGGACAAGAAATGGGTAAACAAAATATGGCATATACACAGTAGAGAATATTATTTGGCAATAAAAAGAAATCAGTTGCTGACATGTGCTGTAACATGGATGGCCCTTAAAAATATTATGCTCAATGAAGAAGCCATTCATAAAGTAACTATTTATGTGAACTGTCCAGAATAGGCAAATCTTTTTTTTTAAATATAGTTTATCAGTATAGGCAAATCTTGAGAAACTGAATTAGTAAAATAGTCTAGTGATGAGGGGCGGGCAGTGGTGATGAAAATGTAGCAGAGTATGGGGCGTGACAGCTAATGAGTATGGGGTTTCCTTTTAGGTTAATGAAAATTTTCAACTTATACTCTGGTGATGGCTAAAACAGCCATCCCCAAAACCATTAAACTATGTATTTTAAATGAAATTTATGGTATGTGAATTATATCTCAATAAAGACATTAAATTGAGAAAGAAAATTCTGTAGCTTTCTGAGCTGAAACAATGAAAAGCCTTGTTCTTTTCATGTTATTGTCTAAATAACCGTCACTATTCTGGCTATACAGTAGCATTATAATGCATTGAAAATACTGTAGCAAAAATTTTTAAATCAGGATGTTAAAGTAACTTTGAATTACATGAAATCGCCCTAAAATTTTAATTCTACACCTATTTCAGAACTACAGTTATTCTCATGGCATCAAATTTTAATAGAAATAAATTTTAAAAGCATCTAAATGGAAAATTTAGCCGTGGCTGGGTAGCTCAGCTGGTTAGAGCATCACCCCACCCTGCCATCATTGCGGGTTCAATCCCCAGTCAGGGAACATACAAGAATTAACCCATGAGTGTATAAATAAATGTAAGAACAAACTAATGCCTCTCTTGCTATCGTGCACTTGCTCTCATGCTCTCTCTCATTCACCCCAATTCCACTCCTCTTTCTCTAAAACCAAAAAATTAAAGAAATTTAAGAAAAGACAATTTATTTGCTCACGGTACCATTTAGGAGGAAAAAAAGTCTTCACATTTGAACATTACCTGCCTTAAAAATATTAATAGTAGTAACAGCTAAAGAGATTCATAATACCCATTGTATAAACAATGTTAACCTACAAGTATAGACCATACCTCTTGATTTCTTGTCCTTTTTGCTTAGGAGATTCCCCTCCATTCAGGATCTGTTCTAAATTCTTTGTTTCTACTGATCCATTTGGTTCTGAATTGGACAATCCCAGTAAAGATCTTACCCGCTGAGACCGTACGTCTAATATGGTATCTGTGTAACCTACTTCCTGAAGATATCTATAAGAGAAAATTAAAAATATTAAATAAGCCCCACATATTGTCAACACCTGCAAATTTATTAATTCAAAATTACATCAGAGGATTTTACAAAAACCCATAATCCTATAAAATATACTCTTCCTTTACCTCAATAACAGTCTTCTCTGTAGACTACCTCTGGTTTTAAGACAGTAAGGCCAATTACAAATCAAAATTTAAGAAAGCAAATAGTACGGCCAACCCTAATGAAAAGCCAATTATTGAAACCTAAAAAGCCCTAGAGCCTTAAGAGGTTTTTCCAAGTTGATGATACATATATATTTTTTAAAGTCTAAAAAGTGATAAGCAATGAGAAGAACTAACCCTCAGAACAGTGACATGCTAAGTTTAAACCTGGGCTCTCAGCCAGTGGTAGATAGACAGGTGAGCTCTCTTTCTGGGACCTACCTCCCTGCATTCCTACCATCCAGCGGTCCTCAAACTTTCTGTATATCTAAACCAGAGTATTTAATCTAGGATTGAGAAAGACAATGAAAAAGAAGAAAGGGACCAGATTATGATATTAATACTGATGGTGGGTCATGAATGGCTTTTGTGTTACAAATGTAAAAATTCCCTCCTGCCAAGCTTGGGTGGCCCAGTTGGTTTGGAGCATTGTCCGAGACACAAAAAGGAGGTGAGTTCAATTCCCAGTGAGGGCAGATACAGAAGGCAACTGATGTTTCTACCTCATACTGATCTTTCTCTTTCTCTCTCTCCCTCCCCCCACGCTCCCCGCCCCACCCACCTCCTCTCTCTCTTAAAAAAATAAATGCTTTGATGAGGATTAAAAAAAAAAATTTTTTTTAACTTCTTCCTAGCCCTGGCTGGTGTGGGTCAGTGAATTGAGTGCTGACCCGAGAGTCAAAGGATCACCAGTTCAATTCCCAGCCTAGGGCATATGCCTGGCTTCTCTCCCTCTCTAAAAATAAATAAAATAAAAAACCCCCGAAAACAAAGAAATTTTCTTCCTAAAGCATTTGATAGGCTAAAGAATGCTAAAAAGGAGCCTCATATACTGCTGGCAGAAGAACAAAAGATTTTTAGTAAAAGTTAAAGGCAGGAGACTAGACTAGTTAGGACACTAACATAGCATGAAGTAAAACTGGAAAAGAGAAAAAAATAAGTAAAATTCAATCTTAGTGACTTGGTGCACTAATAAATACGGCAGTAGAAGAAAAGAAGATACAAGAATTTTGGAAATTTTTTCAGGTTTCTAGCTTGTATAATTAGATGGTGTTTCTATTCAATGAGATGATGAATAAACCATCAGAATCTGGTTTGTAGGGTACTTATCAGATATTCTTGCAGTGTCTACACAAGTGATAATATTTATTAGGCACAATAGTAAGAAAGGTCAAAAGCTCAAAAGAGAGTGGACTAGGTATATAGATTTAGGAGCCATCAGTGTTTGGTGGTATTTGAAGCCATGAATTTAAATCAAGTTATTTGGAAGAAAAGCATAAGAACGAACAGAAAGCCTGGGTACACAAACATCTAAGAGGCTAAAAGAATAAGAGAATCTTATAAGAAAATGAAAAGAAAGTACTTAAGAAATAGATGATACAATTGGGGGTAAGGGGGGAGAGCAGAAATGATAGCAGAGAGTGGTATCAAGAAAGTAAGGAAAAAGTTCCACAATGGAATGAACGGTTAATGTCAAATGTTTCCAGAAGATCAAATATGAACAAAAAAAGGTACTTTAAATATGTTTGTGATAACAGCTTCAGTGAAACATTAAAGTGGAAAGCAGACTAGACAACTGAGAAATGAACACCGAAGACCAGGGAGATCAACTACTCTTAAGAGAAATGTGAGAAGAGACAGAACATAAATGCTGGCAATGAGATTAGGTATTTATAGAAGTACTATGCAACTGATCTCTCTGTAGCTGTAGCACTCTCCCAAAACCCACAATCCTCTTCTGGGGGAGACAGCTTCCACCACACTGTAACCATGTGGTGTCAGTGAGCAGCCAAGACTTTATACAATCCAGGTAAAAATAACTGACACAAAGGCAGTTATTTGATCAAGTCAAGCCAATTCTAATCTGTGGAAATTATTTTGAGTAAAATAGGAATCCCCTGCCATATGGAGAAAATTGCTTTTCAGTAGAACAGAATAAAACTGATACGCAGAGGGGTAGAACACCAGAGAACAGAAACAGGGCCTGAGTGCTTCCTGTCCCTGGGAACTTGTCAGTGCTCACTCCTGCTCATTCTTCCTATCACTCAGTTATTTAGTTTCCCTCAATTCTGCTAGCTACCCCATCATCCTTCCAAACAATATGTTCTTTCTAAAACTAGTTTGAGTTTTAGTCACTGAGAGTCCAGATTAAGAAACACCTCTTTGAATAAAAGACCAGCAAACTGAGATGATAAATATAAGGTTTAAATACATTTATAGAAAGGAAAGCAAAAGGTTTGTGGAGTTCTCATCTGACAGCCCTCCTAGTTCCAGTAAAGTAGAACCCAAGGTACTCTAATGACAGTAAGGGAGAACGTGCTGAGATGTGGTAAAAGTTTAGAGCAGGGGTGTCAAACTCATTTTCACCAGGGCCACATCGACCTGACAGTTGCCTTCAAAGGGCAGAATATAATTTTAGGACTGTAAAAATGTAACTACTCCTTAACTAGGGGCAAGGAGCTCAGCACTGGTGCAGGGTGGAAACAAGGTGCTGGGCCAGATAAAACAAGGTGGACAGCCCTCGGGCCTTGTGTTTGCCACCTGTGGTTTAGAATCTCTATTGAGGGCAATGGGAGGGAGGAGGTGACCAGGGTTATAGAGAAAGGCTCCCTGCAATGTTTAGACAGGAAACCATGAAAATGTACTGGCATTGATATGATTCTCTAATTCTCCAAGAATTTTTTAGAAGTAGAAGCATGACAGACCGAACTAAGGCTAGGGATGTTGCAAGAAGGTATAGCTAAATGACTAGCGAAAGCGAGTTAAGAAGTGGGCAGCAAGGATGTTAAGGATACTAGCAAAAGGGTGACTAATCATGGGGTCTAAATTGGAGCCAGGGAAATAAAAGCAAACAAACCCACAACAGAAATAAAATGAAACCAATCATAGTTTAGAGAGGAGCTAAGGAGTTAAAAAAGGAAAGATCACGGTAAAGTCGGGGCAAAAATGTGGGAATCAGAGTGAGAAGTGCAATATCCAGAGGTAAGATCTTTCTAGGGAGGGACGTGGTCAAGAGTCTGACCTCAGTGGGTTACTGAAATGCAGGTAAAGATGTCTAGAGCTGAGAAAGTTAAATAATCTTAGGTTATTCAGGATATCAGAAGTACAGAAGTACTAAGTTTTCCAAACATAAGGGAGGAAAACAAATACGAGCATGGACACCCCCCCAAAAACCAAATTTATTTATTAAAAATTGTGTATCTATTCCTACGTGTTTAAACTTTAGTCACCTTCCAAGTATTCTCCATTTAATGTAATACATGTATCAGATATTTTGAGCAGATATTTTTTTCCACTGCTCAAAACAGTTTTTGAACTCAGATTTTGATGCCTTTTAGCACTGCCATTTTTTGTTTCACCTCTACCATACTGGCAAATTATTTCCCTTTGAGGACTTTTTTTTTTTTAATCCCAGAAAACCTAAAAAAGTTGCTGGGTTGAGATCTAGTGAATAGGGAAGGTAAGACATGGGGGTCATGCTGTTTTTGGTCAAAAGCTGCCAAACAGTCAGCACAGCGTAGGCAGGGGCACTTGTAAACAACCCATCGTGAAATAAGCAAATACACTGAAAGAGGATTTTAAAAAAATTCACTGAAGCTAAACGCAGCTTCTTACAACAACGCCAGTGGGTACACTGATACAGATGGGTTCCTAGAACACTCATCTAGCAGGGGAACCCTGTACTACAAGGGGCCCACCTTCCTTCTAAATCCAGGGGGGTTTTGAGGGGTTCTTCCAAGTAGATAAAAGACAGGAAAAATCGCCAAAGAAGTTTTTCTAATACAATAAAGAATCCAAATGGCAAAAAGGTTCCCCAAAAATTCAAGTAAAGGTAGGACTTTGCAAGCCACTTCTGAAGTTTCAGATAACCAGTTAAATTCTTTCTGAACTGCCTCACTTAAAGTCCAATATGCAAATTTGCAATGATAAAATCAGGAGTGTTTACAAATATGAACTTTACCTACATTGTTTTTGCTCTGGCCTTGAAGGCATCTAGTCTTTACAACATTCTACCCCACAAAAAACAAAAACAGCATTACCCTGAGGAACATTCAGAGGAAACAAACTTTAACCAAAGCATTAAAAAAGCCGTATGAAAACTGTACACGTTGTCCCACTATCATTAAATAATTTTTCACTTGAAGAGTGAGTGAATACAAGCACTTCATACTTAGGTCCTTAAAGCTGAAAATGAGCCATTACTCACTGTCTTAACAGCTGTCTGCCTTGCTTCCATGTTAACTGGCTGTTCTGAGGCGCTGTGGGGGCTTCTGTGTCTTTGGTTTCTTCTAAAAATTAACAACAAAAAAAGTTTGATACACATTATTTCACCTAGAGAAAATATTGCCAAAGTTTTCTAAGGGACATAGTCTCACGAAAATATGCGTAAATATTATATAAAGGACAGAAGAAAATTAACTTTTATTATTTACTATGGATGACACTCATTTCAAATGTGTTTGTTCCAATAACTCAAATACTTCGGTACTACCCTCCTTGTTTTAAAGTCAGAAAAAGTTAAGTGTACGTTAAATATAACTATCCGGGATTCAAAAATAAAAGCCAAAGCTTTGAAATGCAATATTATTATAAATTTTTTTAATTACCAGAATTTATACTGAATTGAATGCTCCTGAAATTAAAAGGCTATACTTAATATTTACATTAGCTCTTCAAAAGCAACACTTTTAAGAAATTAGGTATATATAACTTAATTTTGAGTTGGTATCAGTAGACTAAGTTTATATCACAAAACTTTATATAGTCAATTTCATTTTTTAGAACTAAAAGTTAAACCAGAAAATAGCTTTTACTACAGGTAAAAAACATTTTTTATTCCCATGTAACAAAGTATATGTATTTTAAAAGTTTAATAAGTAGTATAATTTTAGCTTAGTTAAGCTCTGAATAAGTATCCTTAGATTTATAGCATTTCGTTTATTTTTAATCACATGTAACATAATCACTGCAGGAAAAAAATACATTTAAAAACTGCCCAAAATCCTATCACCAAAAGTTAGTTTTCAAGACTTTATCATTCCATAGTTTCCAGCTGAGAATATACCCATTAACTTCTCCCCTCCTTTAAAAAAAAAAAAAAAAAAAAAAAAGGGCAGTGTGAACACTGCACTGTAGCTGCTTTGACACTTACTATATCTTGAACATTCTCTCTATGGCAATAAATATAGATTAACATATTATAAAATTATTATATAATATTCCACAGAAAGTATATACCTATTTAATTTAACCAGTCCCCTAATGTTGAAATTAGTTTCCATTATTCACTATCATAAGTAATGCTGCTAAGGATATCCTTGAAGTACATCGTAAGCGTACAGCTCAATCAATTTTTGAACACACTCATGTAACCAGTACCTAAATGAAGAAACAAAACATTGTCAGCACCCCAAATGTTTTCCTTTGCCCTTTTCGGTCACTAGATACTTCCAGAGGAACATCAATACTATCTCGAATTCTAAAAACAGGATTAATTTTTTAATTTACTAAGATTAAATCAATTATATTAATGTTCAACTTCATGTGTATGTAACTCATCCATGTTGTCAAGTTCATTTAGTTATTAACTTTTGTTGCTAAATAGCATGCTGCTATGCTAAAATATCACAATATATTTATGCATTCTAATGCTGAAGAATGTTCAAGTTGTTTCTAGTGTTTTACTATTAAAATAATAATACCATGAACATTCTTATACAAGCCTTTGATGAACATAATGTATGCATTTTAGGGAGTGGAACGCCTAGGAATGGAGTTACTGGGTCACAGGATATGCTATGTTCCCTTTAGTTATATCACTGAAAAATCACTTTCAGAGTTCTATCAATTTATAATCCCAACACCAGTAGGACTAGAGTTCTGGTTGTTTCACATCCTCAACAACACATGACTTTCTCTTTTTTATTTTAGACACTCTGTTAGGTGCCTAACTATATTGCACTGTGGTTTTAAGCTATACTTCTTCAAAAACGGATAAAATTGCCCTGGCTGGTATAGCTCAGTGGATTGAGCATGGGCCTGTGAAGCAAAGGGTCACCAGTTCGATTCCCAGTCAGGGCACATGCCTGGGTTGCAGGCCAGGTCCTCAGCAGGGACACATGAGAGGCAACCACACATTGATGTTTCTCTCCCACTCTTTCTCCTTCCTGTCCCCTCTCTCTAAAAATAAATAAAATATTTATTTTAAAAACCCTAATAAAATTGAGCATCATTACATGTGCTTCTTGGCCATTTAGAAATATTACTTTATTGGGTGCCTTTTTAAGCCATTGGTCCATGTTTCTACTGTTACAGACTTTCAAAATCCAACTGTAAGAATAAAGGAGTGCTTTATATAGTTGGGCACAACCCATTTTACAGGGTTAGACTTACATTATGTATACTGGCATTATTGAGACAGGGGTATAAAAACATGCATATCTTGTACTTCTACCAAATCAATATTTTGCATATTTTCTCTTATTTTACATTTTGCTTTATTTTGGGCACCAGTACTGACATTAAAAAGTCAATACTGATTCACTTAATGTTTACCTGTATACTTGCGGTTAATGATTTTATCCCACTTTGTTGGCATTGTGTGTTTTTGACCATCCCTTTTGTTTGTTTTTTCCCCAACAATCTACTTTGTTATTATTGTATATCCTATAAACAAAATATGTGTATGTTATTTGATTCCTCAATTTGAGTAAGTTTTAATAGTTAGATTTAAAACAAGTTTGCTTTTATCTGACTTCAGGTGCGGGCAGGAAAGGTTTAGCTGCTAAATAAGTTTGCTTATACCCACTGCTGCACTAAGACCAGCCAATCCTGCCCCTAGTTTCAGGAACAATGTGGCTGTAACCAGCCTCCTTCCTCACATTTCACAAACTAAAGTTGGAGGACAGCCCTTGAGTGCTAGAAAGTGACTGCTTATTTTCTGAATACACTAAGTTACATTCAAAAATGGAGAAATAAAATAAATTAACCCAAAATAAATTAACTGCAAATTTTATGTATAAAGTGTTTCTGTGCCTAGTTCTAGGTGCTTAATATCAAACTAAACACCAAATAACTAAATTTGTAAAATTTACTTTAATACCTAACTAAAAAAAATTCCACACATCAATTTTACTGTCCCTACCATAAATGCTTTGATGATTAGATACAGAGACAACTACAGAAGACAAATTATGTATTCAAAAAGACATCATTTTCTTGTTTTAGCAACCAACATCCAAAAACAGGAAAAAAATTAAGCTTATACCATCAAAATGTATAAAGAAATGAATTCTAAATATACCTGAGAAACTGCTAGTAGTATTTCCAAATATTGTAAAATGTAAATCAAAATAAATAATTAGACTTTTAAACTACTCTAATCATTATCATATAGAACCCTAAAATTAACATTAAACTGCTAGCTCTTTCCTATGTCCTGCTCTCCCTTCCCTGCATAACTATTCATCACATGCTACTCTGGGACTCACTATTCTCTATCTGTTTAGAAAGACACAAGGTCAATTGGAAATAATTTTTCATTCTCTTATCCTTATTTGGCTTCTTCTGCAGTTTCCAAATTCAATCAAATTTCTGAGTTCTTTAGAACTAAAATGAGTTAATCACAGCTTCTACGGGCAAAAATACGTTTTTAATTAAAAAAAAAACAACAAAAAAACTAAGTTTATATAGGATAGGACAAGGATTGCCTACAGGTAGAGACAGACTTACTAGTTAGTTCATTACCTTCCACTTCTAATTACTTAAAAACAACAACAACAACAACAAAAAACAAACCACCCACAGTTTTATATAGGTTTCAACACAATAAAACTAGGACAAATAACCTCAGAATTGACATTAATTACTTACTTTCATTAATTTATTATTTCCCCCAATTCTAGACAGTTGTACAACAGTCAATCAGTTTACTAACCAATGCTTTCAAAGGAAAATTGGAGGAAAAAGAACATGTCTGTTAAATAAAAATATGCTCAAAGCAATTATTCTTGGGAAGAGGTGGGAGTAGCGTGGAAAAAAAAAAAAAAGAACAGAGTTTACCTGATTCAAAGGTTGGCATTTTCAAATCACCTTGGTTCAGTTCGGTGCCGTATTTTAATTTGTGATATTTTGCCCTGAAAATTTAATAATAAATTGTTGAAAAAACTTGTTTTCCTTCTCCAGTTAAGTAACTACTAGTAGATTTCACAAATAGCAAATAAAACAATATGAACATGTTTCTTTAACTTAACTTGCAAAGGAAGTTGTAGGAAAAAATGTACTGCTATAAAATGGGGTGAGGAGGTAAATTACCCAACTAACATATACACCCAAGTGAAACAATAATCCTGATCTTTCAAAAAAAAATTCCAAAACTTAGAATCCATAGAACAAAAGATATTTCAATGTAAAGATTTTTAACCTCTTTTTCTTTTCTCATATAACACTCAAATCAAAATACCACCTTGTATTTTAGGCAAAGTTTGTATCTCTCAAAGAACTTTCAAATACCTTGTATAATGATATGAGAATAATAATGTTCTAATTTATTTCATTCATGTAATAAAATGAGATACACATACCTCTCTTGTTTTAATGCATACTCTAACATCTTTATTCTTCTTACTAAATCCTTCTTCAAGTTTTCTTGACCTTTTCTTTCTCCTTGCAAAAATGCTATTCGGGCCTAAAAATATAAATGGTCCATTTATTTTTATTTTTTCTTAATTGTACATAGGACACTTAAAAAAGGAAAACAGTAAACTTCTGTACTTTTATTCATGACAGAAAAACTTAAAATTCAGAGAAGTAGTCAATCAAACTTTGTTAGAGAACATAATCACTTTAAAAATAAAGATAGTACAAATTAACTACTTGCTTATAATCCTTAGTCACTAATACTAGTAATTTTACATAATCTTAAAAGAAAATTTTATATGAAAAAACTGTATCTAATTCCTGACATGTACACTAAACAAAATATTTTATTCACAAGTAAACAAATATTTTTTCCAAGTGAGATACTCTTTCAAAAACCAGTAACAAATGCCTGTTTTCATAAAAAAACTTCTCTGTTATCCTTTTTAAAAAATTATATAAAATCATCCACAACTTCCTAACACCTGAGAAGTAATAGATACATTACATTTTGGCTACATAACACTCCTAAATACGGTTTCAAAATAACAATAAAGATCTAGAAGGAATGGTAAAAATTCAGAACCCAGTAGGGGTTGTGGCAAAAGTGAGTTTCACAGTTGTTCTTTGCATGGAAAATAATACAATAATTAATAAGTAAATACAAAAATACAAGAAATAGGTTTATGTTGCACATTCACAACTATAAAAACCTACTTTTGCCCCACCCTGTAGTCTAAGATCCTAAAGAAAAAAGTAGCATCTATGACTCTCAAGTTACAGGGCAAAGGCAAAATATGTCAATGTCATACCTCAATATGTCACTTTCAGCCTCAAAAAATTCAGAGTTTTTCTACGGTATGAGTCATATACTATAGAACCATTATGTGACTCCAGTTTTCAGATCTCATAAGCATTCTACAATTAGCCATGCAAAAAGATAAAAGCAGATCATTTTATTCTGTTTCATAAAAAGTTGTAATTGATTTTCTGATTGAGAAAGGCACTGCAAAGTAAGTAAAACTTGTAATGTACTATAAGGGATCACAAAGAAAACATTACAAAATGGTAATGCTTCCAATTAGAATCTTCTGTTGTGACAATTTATTTTCACTTTTCTTTGCCATTTTCTTATTTAAAATCATCCATGCATACAGAATCTAGTAAATCAAAAACAAACACAAACCACACACACACACAAAAACATGCAAAATCTCAAAAGAAGCTGAATGGAGGTAATTCACAAACACAGGACAAGGAAAAGATGAGATTTCATTAAAGCAAAACCTATAAAAAGACATGGCCTACCCAAAAGTACTTGGGAGAGGGGTATAAAAAGCAGATGACAGGTAAGTCATCGGTACTGGAATTGACCTTTGACGCTGTATTACCAAGTATCTAGCCAGATACTTTGTCAAAAATGCTAAAGGAAAAGTCTGATAGTGGTAACAGAGACCAATTAAATATAAGAGATTTGGTATTTGGGAAAGGATCATTGACAATGAACTGTCAACTACTTTTACAGGTCATACATAATGCACTACTAAAAGTCTAATCTCTGCAAATACTTTAAAAACTAACCTCAAAAAAAATTAAATGGCATCAGAAAACAAAAGTATACAGAAAGAAGTCAATAAAGATGTGCAAGATCTGTGTATGAAAAACTTAAAACTTCGACTGAGACAAAAAAAGATAACCTAAATGGACACACAGACTCACTACTGAGATAACACCAATTTTCATACAAACTAACCAAGACAGTTAATGTCATTCCAATCAAACTCCCAGTGTGTGTGTGTGTGTGTGTGTGTGTGTGTGTGTTAAGAGAGACAAGAGAAAGAGAAACTTGATAAGCTAATTTTAAAATTCATAAAGAAATAAAAATTGTCAAGAACAAGCAAAACTACTGTAAAGAATGAGGTGGTAGAACTTGTCTAGACATTAGACTGTGTTAAAAAGCTATAAAAATGAAGATGGTGATTGGTGCAGATAGATGGAAGACACAAAACAAAGCTAAAAAAAAAACAAACCAATGCATAGAAGGTCACATGATTTATGAAAGACAGAAGTTTTAGAACACTGACAAAAGAATAGTCATTCCAAAAAATGGTGCTCATATCAGTTCCAGGAGGATTATAGATCTAAATGTGAAGGCAGCACAATAATGCTTTGAAGATATAATATGTATCTTCATACTCTCAGATTAAGAAAAGAATTAATGCCCTGGCTGGTGTAACTCAGAGGATTAAGTACAGGCCTGTGAAGCAAAGGGTCACCAGGTTCAATTCCCAGTCAGGGCACATGCCTGGGTTGTAGGCCAAGTCCCCAGTAGGGGACACATGAAAGGCAACCACACATTGATGTTTCTCTCCACTCTTTCTCCTGTCCCCTCTCTCTAAAAAATAAATTAAATTAAAAAAAAAAAAAGAATTTATGAGAACAAAAACCTTAATCATAAAATAGGACTGATAAATCCATTACTTAAAAACTTCTGTTCAAGCTAAAGCAGGGATTGGCAACTTACCACAGGCTTGTTTTTGTAGAGCCCCAGAAAAAAAAACTGGTTAAAAAAAACAACAACAAACGAGAAGAATAAGCCATATGTACACAACATGGCCTGCAGCACCCAATGTATTAACCATTCGAGTTTGCAAAACTCCTATACCAGTATCAGACAAAACAAACTTTAACCAAAAAGGTTATAAAACAAAAATATTATATATTAATAAAACATTCAATACAGCAAGATTTAACAATTATAAATATCCATGTACCTAATACAAATCAAAACTGATGGAATTAAAGGAAGAAATAGTTCCACAATAATAAGTAGCTAGAGACTTCAATACTCTAGTTTCGATAACTAATAGATAAAGACGACAGAAGATAAGGAAATAAAGGACTTGAACAATACAGTGAATTAACTAGATCTAATAGGCACAGCAGAACACTCTCCCTAACAATAACAGAATATATATTCTTCTCAAGTTTACATGAGATAGTCTCCATGATAAAAGGTCACAAATTAAGTAATAATGGATTTTACAAGATACACATATCTTAAAACAAAACCCAACTCTTCCAACCAAATATATGAAGTTCAAAATCTACAACAAAAAGAAAGCCAAAAAAAGCCACCAATTCGTAAAAATTAAATAGCACATTATTAAATTACCAATGGAACAAAGAAATCACAGGGAAAAATGGAAAGGAGTGAAAACAAACCACAACATATGAAAACTTATGGGACACAGCAAAAGCAGTGCTAAAGAGAAATTTCATGGTTATAAAAGCTTACGTTAAAAAAAAAATTAGAAAGAGCCCTGGTCAGTAAGCTCAATTGGTTAGAGTGTCATCTCAATATGCCAAGGTTTCGGGTTTGATCTCCAGTCAGGGCACATATAAGAAGCAACCAATAAATGCCTAACCAAGTGGATAAACAAATCTCTCTCTTTCCTTCTACTCTCTCTCTCTGAAATCAATACATAAATTTTTTTTTTTACAGAAGATAGATCTCAAATCAACAAAATACCACCTCAGGAACTAGAAAAAGAACTTGGAAGAAAAGAAATACTTAAGATTAAAGCATAGACAAATAAAATAGAAAACAGAAAAACATAATAATATAAAAGAGTTAAAATCAATCCTTCTAAAACATTTCCAAAAACTGATGAGTGAACACTTCTTAACTCAATGAGGCCAGCATTGCCCCAATACCAAAACCAGATAAAGTCCAAACCACAAGAAAACTACAAACCAATATCCGTTATAAACAATGATGCAAAAATCTTCAACAAAATACTAGTAAATCAAATTCAGCAGCTCATAACAAAAATTACCCATCATGACCAAGTGAAATTTATTCCTGGACTGCAAGGATGATTCAACATAAGAAAAATCAATCAATGCAATATACTACATTAAAAGATAAAAGGAGGAAAAACCATATGAGCATTTTAAAAGATGCAGAAAAAGAATCTGACAAATTCAACACCCTTTCATGATAAAAGACACTCAACAAACTAGAAATTAAAGGAAATTATCTCAACATAATAAAACTATATATGAAAAAACCACAACAAACATCATACTGAATAGTGAAAGACTGAAAGCTTTGCCTCTGAAACCAGAACAGGGCAAGGATGCTTACCTTCATCACTCCTTTTCAACATAATAACAGAAGTACTAGCCAGAGCAATGAGGCAAGAAAAAGAAATGAGAAGTAAGCAAAAAGGAATAGGTAACATTACCTTTGTTCGCATATGCTTGTATGTTGAAAACCCCAAAGATTCCATGAAAATCTGTTAGGACTACCAAATTCAGCAAAGTAGCAAGATATAGTCAACATACAAAAATCAACTTCATTTCTGCCCTGGCAGCATGGATGTTAGTTGGAGCATCATTTCATGTACCAAAAGGTTGCCAGTTGGATCCACAGTTGGGGTGTGTTCAGGAGGCAAGCCACTGATGTGTTTCTCTTGTATCGAAGTTTCTGTCTTTTACCCTACCTCTCTCTCTAAAATAAATGGAAATATATCCTCAGGTGAGGATAAAAAAATCAACAGCATTTCGATGAAAAATCATAAAAGAGAATTATGAAAGCAATTCCACTTACTGTAGCATGAAAAAGAGTAAAGTACTTAGGAATTAAAATACAAAAAACAAATGGAAACACATTTCATGTTCATGGATTGGAAGACATTAAACCCACACATTCAACACAATCCCTATCAAAATCCCAATGACATTTCTTGCAGTTATAAAAAAAAAAATCTATCCTAAAATTTACATGAAACCTCAAGGGACACCCCCCCATAAATAATAAAAATAATATTGAAAAAGAACAAAGTTAGAGGCCTCACACTCTGATTACAAAACATACTATGAAGCAACAGTAATCAACCATAAGATACTTGCAAAAAGACAGACATATAGACTAATAGAACAAAATAGAGAAATCAGAAATGAACCCTTATGTGTGTGGTCAAATGATCTTAGACAAGAGTGCCAAGCCTACACAATGGGAACAGACCCGTCTCTTCAACAACT